GTGAACTTTGTCATTGATTTCCGTATGCCCGGCTTTGAACTTACTACTCCACTCATATACCTGTGACTTTGCCATTACTTTCTCCCCGTAAAATGATTTTATTTCAGCGTGTATTTCTATAGGTTTGAGACCTTTTGCGGTCAGAAACCGAATGACAGATCTCACTTCTATCCTTGACCAATTTTCCAAGTGGGTAGCCATCTTTGGAGAACTGCTGTGCTCGTTTGATTTGTGCGATAGTCATGGTGTTCAATCGGGAAATTTCAATATGATTGTTTTACAAGTGTGCGTTTACAGAATGTGAAAATATTGAATAGTTTTCAAATTACAGCCAAATTCCGGTTTTCCGTGGGACAGCCCTCGTACATGGTACCCCAACACAAGAAGAGTACCACTCTCCCTCGTGTTTCGTACGGTGTTTGTTCTGTTCACATCCACCAGTCCTTTGGAGCAACCGCATCTGAGTGGAGGGAATTTATTGTTAGGTACTATTGTGTGAGTTGGGACGTAACACAGTGGAGTAGAGGGGACAACTGAATTATAGTCAGCTAGATGTTCAGCTTTTCAAAGCCCAGACAGTTTTATTAGGAGAGAGAGAAAAAAATGCTTCTTTAAAAAATTGTACCCAAATTATGAAAAATTATGTATCTGTCCTTGCCTTTTCTAATATTTTAAATAAAGATTTGGAGAAAGTGTTACTTAAACACTTGCAAATAATACCATATATCAGAAACTGCAATAAAACAATCAACTTTTTGGATTTAGCATATCTCTACAACTGGTCGACGTTATACTTGGGACCAAAGAAACCATCTCTTTTCTTTTCTTTTATAAATGCTGAATTAAACTTTCTACCAGAGGTATACCTTTCTAAACTTCGTCAGCCTGCTTTCCCTGTATTCTCCAGGAACAAGTTCTGGCCGTATCGCGTACTGACAGATCTGTCAATTGGTATTCTTGGCTTGGGAAACCTGGGCACGGACGGTAAGGAGCATAGCATCAGTATTATCATAGCCTAGAAGTCTGTCATCCATCATCATTATCATCATCGTCATTGTCATCGTTATCATCATCATCATCATCATCATCATCATCATCATCATCAT